GTGATGAGAATGCATCCCGCTAGTGTCTTAGCCTCCCCTTCTGATGTTAATAAGATGTCCCACATTGTATTAGATCTTCTTGCCAACACCTACACTGCAATGTCTATGTACCTTAGTGCTTCCTCCATAACTTCTCTGCTGACACCCATCAACTTCCATCAACATTTACATAAATGGTAGTAGGGAAATTATCCTTTTGGAGATTCTCTCCCAGGCCACCGGAATGGTTAAAAGTTCATTGCCAGAAATGTATTCCTGAAACTTTTCTGTGCCTCGTGCTCCTTTTGGAGGATTTTCCACCTTCCATACTGACATCAACGCTTGGGTGGTCAAAGGCTCTTTATATTGCCCCCCCCCCCCGGACACAGTGGAGGAGTTCCCTCAACCAGTGCAAATAAAACAAGACACAATACAGACAATGGAAGGAAAACCTTCCAAAACGAAATGACAATAATGACCATCACTAGACAATAGATAGAGAAAAGCGCGACACTAACTTCGTAAATTTGCAATCAACTCGTCCAAAAAATCAAACACACAGTCTTGAAGCAAAATGTCCATCAAGCACACAACAACGAACATATAAACAACTGCCACTGCTGGTTTTGAAATAGCAATCGACCAATCAGAAACAACCTACGTCACTCCCCCGCCCTCAGCCACGACGAGACAAAAGAACAAACTGAATGCTCGTCTTTTTCCTCTTAGTTGCAACATGCGGAAAGACACACACTTTCAAAAAATACTGCTTGATTATAACATAGATAATTTCTACTAGTCGCCGAGAAAGTTTTTATATCATACGAAACGATATTACAAAAAAAAAAAAACATGATACAAATTCGCTGGTAGTAGGAATTATGATCAGAATCTATTTTTTGAGGGACATCTAATAAGTAAAAAACACCATGCCTATACAAGAAATAAAAAGACGTCGTCGAAGAAGAGAAAAAAAATAAGCCTCCACGGCTTCGTCAACTCTTTGTAAATTTCTCTCATTATCCCTTCCGACTGAAACAACACCTCAACGCCAACTCTTTGTCGTAGAGCTCCATGGATCTGATCTTTTTATCCTCACCATTTTGAGGCTTTCTCTGCAGATTCTGAAAAGGTTCTGATGGATTTTCTTTTTTTTCTTCCCTGACTCTAAGTCTACTTAGATTTCTGCATAAAGATCTTCTTTCAATCGGATTACAGGTAGTCCGCCATTGTTTAGATCAGCATTTCTCAACCATCTCCTGGTATTTTCCAAGCTTTCTTTCAAAGGCGTCTTACACATTCTCTTCCCAATGTACCGTAAGTTCGAGCATTACAACTTGCCTGGAGACAATTGACTAGATTATTAAATCCGCGCGCACAGAGGATGCTGTTATCTGCTCTGGGAATTTCAATTGACTCCCGAGGTCTACTCTCAATTGCTAATGTCGGAAAGAAGAGAACATGCAAGTTGACGGTTTACGCACTGTTTTCGCAGCCCCTGACAAAATAAATCGCCCTCGTTTCAGGCTTGTAACTACTTAAAATTTTGCTGCGGCCACTACTTCGGCCAATTTCTTAAGTATCTTTTCATGTCTCTATCGATACCTTCTATCAACAAGGTCCCTCGGACAGGCATTCAGAATGTGTTTCAGCGTACCTTTTCTGGCATAGAGTGTCCAAGTATACAAAACTCGGTAGTACATCATACACGGTTTGGACAAGAAATTTAATCCGACTAGCGTCGTAGTGTCAGGTCTTCGACTAGCTTTTTTTTTTCGCCGTAAAACCCCCACCATCGTGTCCATGCACGCTTCTGGCGTAGTCCCACCATCTTGCATATTATTTTTTCCTCACGACAGCCTTCTTCCTTAAACGCTCCTCCGCAACACCTAGTTCTCTTCGTGCACTCAATTTCCTTCCAGTGCGGGCCTGGATGCCTGGTGCCGCCACTTTTGTGCCTTTAGAGTCCCTATACTGTAGGAATTTCATTATCGTAGAGACCTCGAATTCCTCTACCAAGTTTAAAGAGGAGTTATAGCGCGCTTGAGTTGCATATAACGAAGCACTGCACAGACGTAATGGCAGCCGCGCCCTGGGTAAGACGATAAACTACGTCCAGCAGCAAGGCCTCTGATCAGGATGTTTTGAGGAGCGTGGAAGCACTTCTTAATTGCTGGTGTTCCCAGGTCCACCCTGACTCGGGGTGGTAGCACCTGTTAGGCTCCCTGCTATGGGCAAATAGTTAACTCAGAAACTGGGGTAAAAATGGGTTTTAATACCAGGAATACGTCATAAAAAATTATTAAATATTACCAACTGTTGTGGAGTCCGGGATGAAATCCGGTACCAATAAATAACAAACGCCAAGAATGAATATATGAAAATAAAGTATTAACGTAATAATAAAAACTGGTAAAGCAGGTTAGTAGTTCCAGGAATACGGGTTAGTAGCAAAATATATATATACAGTCTTTGGTATTGAAGTTTCGCTGTATGACTTCTTACTGAGTCTACGCGCTCTCTCACTGTGACTCTTGCTCGCTACGTTCGTTCTGTCTGTCTGTCTGTCTGTCTCTTACCTTACTCTCGGTTGCTCTGTCGGGTCTTCACGTAGCAGTAGTATATGTATATACTGGGTGAGTCCATTTGTGTAAAAAGGGGAGAACCCCTCAACACCAACAATACGTTTTGAAAAAATATTACCAGCAATGAATTTTTGAGGAAATGAAGGAAAAAAATTATTACCAGAAATAGATTATTGACAAGACAAAATATTACCAGCAATAAAACTTTGTCGGCATCAAATAACCCATTGAGGTTGATATGCCGTAAAACACAAAAAACCAAACCAACAATCATGGCAGCCCTAGCCATCTACGGAGGTAGCCGTTAATTCTACTTTCCATGGCCTCCACTGATGTCATTGGAAAGTCATAGATAAACAAATGCCAGAGAATTCTGGAGAGAATCCACGGTTTGAAACGGCCTGGAATTCCAGATTTGTCCACCATGTCTAGCCATAATTCCAGTTTGAAGATTGTCACTCCGATGGTCGAAGTATCCTTTAAGGAGCTGTTAAAAGTTTTACCAAGGTTATTGACAGGTCTCTCTGTCAGCGTGGGGATAGTTGGTCTCGATATCGAGAACCTGAAATTATCCGCCATTTGCCCCTTCTTTAAAACGAACGAAATCGATTTACCAGGTTTGAACTTCATTCTCGCCCAAGATATAATCTTTTCAAGTCTCGTAGGATCCACATACTCCCCGTGACCGAAGATGTTGTAATGATCAGATCGTCCATATACGCTCTGATCCGTGGCTGACGCACTCCTGTCTTCATGATACGTTCGATATCTGCCGATTTGATCACCATATTTATTGCAAAGGTAAAAAGGGTAACTGAGATCGTACAGCCAGTAATAATACCCCTTTTGAGTCTATGCCAATCGAGAACTATAAACATGAATGGGATTCTCATATTAAAGCTGTTCTAATCGTCCTAGGTTTAATAGGCTGATCTTGCCAGACACATGGTATCTCCTTATTGCTTCCTCTTCTAATTTATGTGGAATGGACCTGTATGCATTGATAACGTCCAACCACAATGCAGCGAGGTCGACGCTACTTTCCTTAGCTTCTCTCAATATCTGCGTGACTACCCCAGTATGTTCGGGGTATCGAGGAAAAGTTGGAACTCCCCACCTTGTATAATGAAGTGTCGATATAGTTATTCACCTAAAGTAATCTAGTCAATCCCGCGATGAAATACTAAAAAAAGAGTTTGCCTTCTGAGCGGAATAAAGAGATAGTCCTAATTTGTTCAAGTTTCTGGAGTTTTCATCCTTGGGAATCCACACACCGTCTCCAAATGTCTGTAGTATATTGGTCTGTAATTCTATCGCTACGCCATATCACCTTTAGTATCTTCCAAAGAGCTGGTGAAGACTCGGACAACGTTTATAGATGTTGTAAGAACTCCACTCGGGCCTGGAGCTGAGGCTGATCTAGCTGCCTTCAGTACGTCCCTAAACTTCTTCCAGCTTGGTTCATTCAAATAAAAATCTGTGGTCGACTGGGTTGAATTAATAACGGTTTATCTGTGGGCAAGATCTTTGTCCTTTATAGTATTACTCCGGAGTGTTCCGGAGATAGTTGTTAATATCATCTGCAGAATATTCCGCTTATATATATAAATAAATATATCGAACTGTCAATCGATATATATATATATATATATATATATATATGTATATGTGTGTGTGTGTGTGTGTGTGTGTGTGTGTGTATGTATGTGTAATTTCAATTTATATTCTTTATGTAATATATATACATGGTACTTATTGTAAAAGCACTCAATATCAGTGATAAAGCTAACATAAGAGTTTGTCTGACGATCGCAAGGCGTGAAACCCAGGATTACAAAATCACATTTTACAACTAATATATATATATATATAAATGAACATACACACACACACACATATATATATATATATATATATATATATATATATATATATATATATATATATATATATATATATATATAAACATATATATATAAACGAATATATATATATATATAACATATATATATATATATATATATATATAGTGAAAAATTAAAGTCAATACTCAGAGGTGACAGGCTGTTCCATGCTAGACGCAATCGCCAAGCCGCCTGATGATTGCACATAGCATGAAACAGCCTGTCGCCTCTGAGTGTTGACTTCAATGTTCATTTTATATTTATGTTTACATACGCTCTATCTCTGATATTGAGCCCTTTATCCCATAAATATAGCACACCTTAAAACTATATATATATATATATATATATATATATATATATATATATATATATATATACATGTATGTCCGTTTGTCCCTATCTATGTTTGTTCATATCAATACTGTTGTTTGTATAGATCATAGAAAGTGAGATGTTGGTAACAATGAGACAATCTATATTCAGATTGCAATTAGACCGTGTTGTCTTAAACTCGAATAAAGTCGACAGAATGCAGACTAAGATGATTACTTTTCTGCACAGATTTCGTCAAACTGTTCGTGTCATTGAACGGCTCATTAAAAATCGCTCTCAGGCCATAATTCATTATTATGGCGATTACGAAGAGCCAATTTTTTTTTCTCTTTTACCCGTCATTTCTTTGATGTTCTTATATATTTATCTATTGTTCTTAAATGTCTCAACATTCTTTTTTTGTCTTCTCCACTCTCAAAGATTTCATGAGTTCGTTTGTCTTGTCTTTATTGTTGTTTGAAATCTATGGATACTTTTCTTATTTTCCTCTTTTTATTTTTTTTTTTTATTTTTTTTTTATTTTTTGATAAGGGTTTTTGACTTAGCTTTTTTTTTCATTTCTTTCTTTTTTGTAGCTTCTTTTTCGTTTCTTTCTTTCGTTCTTGCTTTCTTTTTTAGATTGTTTTTCATTTCTTCCTTTATTTTCCGATTTTTATAACAAATTTTTCATTTCTTTCTTTCTTAGGGTTTTTTTTTTTTTCATTTTTTGTTTCATTCTTTCTGTGCACGAATGTTCTGAGTTATTGTCAAATAGCTGTTTTTCTTTCTTTCTTTTTTCTTTCTTTTTTTTCTTTCTTTGATTATTTTCCAGTTTTTCATTCCTTCTTTTATTTTTCTATTTTTATGGCTAATTTTTCATTTCTTTATTTGGGTTATTTTTTCATTTCTTTCTTTGTGTCTTTGTGTGTGGAATGTTCCCAGTTATTGTCAAATAGCTGTTCTTTCTTTCTTTCTTTCTTTCTTTCTTTCTTTCAGCCTTTCTTTCTTTCAGTCTTTCTTTCTTTCTTTCAGTCTTTCTTTCTTTATTTCTTTATTTCTTTCTTTCCCTTTCTTGTTATTTTTGCTCCATCTCTTTTCTTTCTTTTCTTTTTCTTTATTCTCTTCTTTCTTTCTTTCTTTCTTTCTTTCTTTCAGTCTTTCTTTCCTTCAGTCTTTCTTTCTTTCTTTCAGTCTTTCTTTCTGTCTTTCTTCCTTTCTTTCTTTCAGTCTTTCTTTCCCTTTCTTCCTTTCAGTCTTTCTTTCTTTCTTTCTTTCTTTCAGTCTTTTTTCTTTCTTTCTTTCCTTTTTTTGTTATTTTTGCTCCATCTTTTTTCTTTTCTTTTTCTTTATTCTCTTCTTTCTTTCTTTCTTTCTTTCTTTCAGTCTTTCTTTCTTTCTTTCTTTCTTTCAGTCTTTCTTTCAGTTTTTCTTTCTTTCTTTGTTTCTTTCAGTCTTTCTTTCTTTCTTTCCCTTTCTTGTTATTTTTGCTCCATCTCTTTTCTTTCTTTTCTTTTTCTTTATTCTCTTCTTTCTTTCTTTCTTTCTTTCTTTCTTTCTTTGTTTTCTTTCTTTCTTTCTTTCTTTTCCCTTTTTTCTTGTTTTTTTGCTCCATCTTTTTCCTTTCTTTTTTTTTATTTCTCTTTCTTTCTTTCTTTCTTTCTTTCTTTCAGTCTTTCTTTCTTTCTTTCTTTCTTTCTTTGCTTATTTTCCAGTTTTCTTTGATTCTTTCTTTTCTTTTAGTTAAAATTATTTTGCAATTATTTCATTTTTTACCTTTCTTTCTTTTTTCTTTTTGCATTTTCTTTCTTTTTTCTTTTTGCATTTTCTTTCTTTTTTCTTTTTGCATTTTCTTTCTTTTTTCTTCGTCTTAATTCATATTTTATTTTCCACTATTCTTTCTTTCATATTTCTTTCTTTTCTCTTTCTTTCTTTAATTTTTCTTTTTTTTTTTCTTTCTTTCTACCGCCTTAGAACTAGTTGAGCCTAATCACCTTCGCCTGATGTGACGTGTGATACGCCACTTCATAAGACGATTTCCCGTGAGACGTAACTCTGATTTCCGACGATAGACAACTAATGTAGAGTCACACAGTCGAAAGATAAGAGTTACAAATTTACTTGGCCTTTGAATTTAGAAAAGAAAATTATTTCTTTTTTTTTTCTTAATCTACTACAAGCGTTTTTTTTTTCCTTGCTTGAATAGTTTCATTCTGTCCACACTTTTCATTGCAAACTGTTGCATTTATTTTCTCACCATTCACTTACCTACTGCTATTTAATATGCACAAATTTAGTGACTTATTCCTGCTAGATATTTGAAAAAGTATTTTATTTGAGAAAATAGTGAATGTCACATTAGTATGTAGTACCCCATTATTCTACGCTCCCGGCCTTATAGGAACTTGAATTGATATTGAAGCAAGATCTCATTAAAAATAATAATTTCTTAACAAATTTGAATTTCTTCGTCTTTTCTTTGTTAAATCTTTTGACTTTGGTCTCCGAGTTTTATTTAGAATTTCCTTTTAGAGTTTCTTATTATTTCCCTTTATAGTGGCTCGGACTGGGGAATCGGAGAGCCGAGTTCGAATTCCAGTCGAATCCATTGCATTCATTTACGTGTTAATACTCTTGGGAAAGGTAAAAATCCTCTTCTTCTCCACCCCAGCTATGGGTTTAATAGCAGAACAGGCAGGGTTTTATATTGTATAGCAACTGGTCTACCGCAGAAAAAATGACAAACTATTGAGGCAAAAAAATGGCTCGTCAGTCGTGTATCGAAAAATACATGATCGCCCAAGCAAGTATCACGCATGGCACATAACTAACTGATTTTCTTTCTTTGAAAATAAGTAGTTCTCCTTTGTTCCTCATTCTAATTTAATCTAAATCTAAATATCTCTTGTTGTTCGTTTTTTCTACCTTGTAAGTGACTTCGATAGCATTTCAACTTCTTAAATATTTTTCCAACTCTCTCTCTCTCTCTTTCATTGATTGAACCGAGAGTTTTTCCTTCCTCGATGAGTTTTTCTTTGTCAATCATTTAACTTCATTTATGTTTTGTATAACATTACTGCCTTTACAAACCCATGCCACCGATCAAAATGCCTGATGCTCAACTCCACGAGAGCACCGCTTTGCGGCTGCTTGGTCTCACACTGTCCGCTGACCTGAGATGGGGGCACTTACATTGAATCAGTTGCTTCATCCAGCACAAGGAAAGTTGGTTCCCTGTGTCGCGCTAAAAAGATTTTCTTCATCCTTCAAATCTACAAATCAACCATTCGCCCTTGCATGGAATACTGCTGACATATATTGTCTGGTGTCCCCGCTGTTCGCCTTAAGGTCGTCGACAAGATCCAGAGACGGATATGCAATGTGGTTGGTCCTGATCTGGCATCTTGTCTATAGTCGCTTTCTCACAGACGTGACGTCGCCTCCCTCTGTCTTTTCTACAAATACTTTCACGGTAAATGCTCCGACAAGCTACTTTCGCTAGTTCCCAGACGGCAAGCATTTAAGCGTGCTACTAGGCTGGCATCTCGCTCTCATCCTTTCACTGTCGAAACGGTTAAATGTGGTCGTCTCTTCTACTACAATAGCTTCATGTCTCGCACATCTTGCCCGTGGAATTCCTTTCCTGTTACTTGATTTCCTAATAGCTATAATCTCCAATTATTCAAATGTAATGTCAATCGACATCTCCAGATGCCCTGACTTATTCCCTGTTCTTCTCTTCATCCTTTCCTCCATCACGCCTCTTTAATCTCGCTCCCATTCTGTAACCCTTTGCGTACTAGTGGCATCCCGCCTTGTTTGGAGTGAAATGCTTAAAAAATAACAATGTTTTTTCTTACCTTCTGTATAGCTTTTCCATTTTCCCGAATCTCTTTCTCTATCATTTCATGTTCTTCGATGTTTCTGTATAGCTTTTCTCTTCCTCAGTGACTTTTCTTAGTCTCTCCTTTTCTTTAACATTTTTATATAACTTTTAGCTTTTCTCGACATCTTCATGTAACCTTTGTCCTTTCTCGGCATCTTCGTAATTTTTTCTCCTTTCTCAATCTTTGCTGCATTTTTCTTTTTCTTTATTTAATCTTTTTGGCTATCATTTCCTCTTTCTCAATGTCGATGTTTTTTAGTCTTTTCCCTGCCAATATAAAATTTGTCTAGTCTTTCCCCGTTCTCAAAGATCGTTAAACTCATCTTTCTCTATATTCTCTCTCTCTCAATGATTTGATATAACTTTTCTCCTTCTCACTATCTATTTCTCGTCCCCACTCTTTCCTTAACATCTTTATTTTTGACTTCCTCTTTTCTCAGTGTCTTTATCTAGCCGATATATCCATATCTTATTATAGGCTTTCTTTTTCATCAATTTCTTTCGGGGAAAATTTATGGCAAAGTGGAAAAAGTTTTCTTTTGATGCGTTTCGTCCTTTAGGACTTCATCGAACTAAATTTGATATGTTTGTCCAACTACACATGCGCACGAACGACGAACGCTGGGAATATTATGATGTGTTGAAAAGAAAAAGAAAAAGAATGTAAATGAAATCTGCTAGTTAAAATAAAATTCCCAGCATCCCTCGTTCGTGCGCATGTTTAGTCATACCAACATATTAATTTTAGTCCGATAAAATTCTAATGTATCTGTCTATATTTCTTATATGAGGTATTATGTAAACTATTTACATTATTCGGACTATTGTCCTCATCTTTGTCGCCATATTTATTACAACGTTTCGGCCTTCTTCAGTACCCGGTTAAGGTAGTGGAGAACGTGGAGAGGGAGTTAACTGATAACTGACATCCCTTAAAAATGGCACGTGGAACTAGAACAGTCTAACCTAGTGAGCGAAATAAACGGTTCAGTTCAACATTACAACCACCTGAAGAAGGCCGGCGTACAACTGCCGAAACGTTGTAATAAACATGGTGACAAAGATGAGGACAATAGTCCGAATAATTTAAATAATGAAATCCTAAAGAACGAAACGCGTCATACATTTTTACCCCAATATTGTTCGTTATATATGAAAATATATAGCCTTACCTATATCAATTTCTTTGTTAAGTCTCTTTCTTTCCTTAACATGTTTCTATATACTTTCTCCTTCCTGAAGAGATTCTAAAAGCAAATTCTAAATAAAACTCAGAGACCAAAGTAAGAAGATCTAACAAAGAAAAGAGGAAGAAATGCAAAACGTTATATTTGTTAAGAAATGATTATTTTTAATTAGATCTTGCATCAATATAAATTCAAGTTTCCATAAAGCCTGGAGCGTAGAATAATGGGTTCTACATATTAAAATGACATTCATTATTCTCTCAAATAAAATAATTTTTCAAATATCTAGCAGGAATAAGTCGGTAACTTTGTGCATATTAAATAGTGGTAGGTGAATGAATGGTGAGAAAATAAAGTGTGGACAAAATGAAACTATTCAAGCAAGGAAAAACTACTGGTAGTAGATTAAGAAAAAAGAAGAAATAATTTTGTTTTCTAAATTCAAAGGCCAAGTAAATTTCTAACTCTTATCTTTCAACATTTGTTTTCTATCGTCTATCCTCTCTCCTTGTTCAATGTATTTACATAGATTTACTTCTATGTACTGTCTTTGTCTGGTCTACCAATTCCCTTAAACATTTTGCCAAGTTTTTCTCATTCCTTGACGTCTTTATGAAGACTTTGTCCTACCAGAGTATCTCTGTATAGCCTTTCCCCTTCCTCAGTCTTCCTTGACTTTCTCCTTTTAATTAAACTCTTTGACTATCATTTCCCGTTTCTCAATGTTCTCTTTTAGTATTTTCATTTCCCCAATGACGCTGTATATTCGTTCTATATTATCAAAGTGTTTTTAAACCTACCCCCTCTCTCTCTCTCTCTCTCTCTCTCTCTCTCTCTCTCTATTTTGTCTCGCAATGATTTTCTATAGTTATACCTCCCCTCAACATCTATGTCACACCTCACACTTTCCATAGCACCTTCGTCTAGCTTGCTTCCTCAATATTATATCTAGCCTTTCCCCTTCCCGTGTATCTTTTTATAACCATTCTTCCTCAATTTCTTTGTCTAGTCGCTTTCTTTCCTTAACATCTTAATCTATAATTTCTCAATTCAATATATTCTGTAGACTTTCTACATTCCCAATTGTTTAACCCTTGTCTCGCGTTTCCTATGCTTAACATGTCTTTCGAGGTTTCTCAATGTTCTTATCAATACATAAGCTTTCATCAATGTATTTGTATAGCTTTCCTCCTCCTCAGTGTTTTTGTCTCACCTCTTTCTTTCCTTAATATTTTGTCTAGCCTTTCTCCTTCCTTAGTGTCCTTATATAGTCAACTTTCCTTCACCAGTATTTCTTTATATCGTCGTAATAGCCGTTCCCCTTCCTCGATGTATTTGTCGAGTCTCTATCTTCAATTAATATCGTTGACTATCTTTTCTTTTTCCTAAGCGCCTTGTCTGCTATTTCTTATTTCTAGATGTCTTTGTCCCTTTCCTTAACATCTTAGCTTATTTTGTTTCCTTTCTAAAGGTCTTTATTTAGCCTCTCGTCTTCTTGAGTATCTCTTAATAGCCTTTCTTTATACATCTTTCTTTTCGTCTGTTTCTTTCCTTAGCATCTTTGTCTATAATTTCTCCTTTCTCTTTGTGTTTTTTACTTCTTAAAAACTTTTCTTTAGGCCTTCTCCTTACTCAAGGTTTTGTCTTTCATTTTTCATGCTTAATATCTTTGTCTGTCCTTTCTCTTTCCTCAAAATGTTTCGCCTAACTTTTCACCCTCTTTAGTGTATTTGTATAGCCTTTCATATTCCTCAATATCTTTGTTGAGTTTATTTGACCTATTTCAACTTTCTCAATGTTTTTTCTAGTCTTTCTCCTTCTTAAATGTCGTATATTTTTTCTTTGTTCGCCATATTGTTTTAAAATCCAGTCTTTCTCAATCTTTTGTCGTGCAATATTCTACTTTCCAATATCTATTTCTCGTCTCTCTGTTCCCTTAATATCTTCTTCCTCAATGTCTTTATTTAGTTTGTAACCTTCCCCGATGTTTCAATGTAGCTTTACGTCTTTCTTGGTATCCCTTTAAAGTCTGTGCCATTCCTCGTTGTTTTTTGTGGTCTCTTTCTTCTTATTTCATCTATTTCACATTGCTCAGAGTTAGTTTACTAGTTTTCCCTTTAGTGTCTTTGTCTGTTCTTTCTCTGTCCTCGAAGATTTTGCAATGCATTATTTTTCAATGTTGTGTTCCTCAGCGACCTTCTGTGTCCATTCTACTTCTCACTATTTGACGTCACTCTTCCCTTAATATCTTCGTCTAGCCTTTCTACTTCTTCATTGTATCTATCTCGTCTTTCGCCTTCCTCGATGTCTCTATGTAACCTTACGCCATGCTTGGTATCCTTTTGAGTCCGTTCTCCTTCATCATTGTCTTCTCTCTCTCCCCCCTTGCTCCCCCCTCTCTCTCACTCATTGAGTATCCTTGCTCAGTGTCTTTTTGTATTTTTTCCATTCTTCATTGTCTTTTTCTTCTCCGTCCTCAAAGATTGTTAAACTTAATCTTCTCAAATGTTTCGTCTCGCAATGACGTTCTATACTTTTATTTACGAATAAAGTGTCGCTGCCGACACTTGAGTTTGAACATAGATTACCAGGGAGCAAACACGGGCGATCCCATTATTGAATTAAGTATACCACGTGACCATAGAGAAAACGCGTATATGTAGGAAGTCGCGTGACGTCTAAATGATCTACATTTTTAGTCTATCCTCTATTTCTATACCGATCGCTATTTCTACTCTATCTTCTATTACTATACAGACCCTTATTTTCTACTCTATTCACTACACTATTTCTCTTTTCGGATCACTATAGGGATTACCATTCGATCAAGTATTATCGAGCAAGTACAATCAGTGCGAGTGTTATTTGAAGGCGTCTGACACCAGCATTGTTCAACGGCGTACTATAGTTGTATCTGCGATTATAAATTCTCTACTACAACAAACATTACGAAAGTGACAACGAGTATTCGTTGATATTACATAAATGACAACAAGTGTTCGTTGGCATCACAATATATACCAATGCTGCTTATCCTTCTCTCTGTTTCCTTACCATCTTAGACTAGCCTTTTGTTCTTCCTCAGTCTGTTGCATTCTTTGATGTCTCTGTTGCCTTACGCCTTCCTTGGAATCCTTCTGAATCCTTTCTCCTTTGTTTTTGTTGGGTCTGTCTTTTTACTTAATCGCTTTGACTTTTATCATTGTCTTTTTCAATGTCTTTGTCTCTCCCGTCCACAAGATTGTTAAACCAAATCTTAATGTTTTGTCTAGCAATGACATCCTATACCAATACTGCTACTCAGTATTTATTATCTGTCTCTCTCTTTACTTGACAACTTCGTCTAGCCTTTCTACTTATTCAATGTCATTATCTAATCTGTCGTCTTCCTTGACGTCTCTATATAGCCATAAGTGATTCTCGGTATGAGTTTAATGTCTCTCTTTCTTCTTTTTCTTTGTTGGATGTCATTCTTTAACGACTTTTTTTTAATTATTTCTGCTTCCTCAGTGACTTGTGTCGTCTTCCTAATTTCTCGAAGTCTTTATTTAACCCTTCCTCAATGTTTTTTTTTAATTTTTTTTTTCATATTTTTCCAGGCTTAACATTTTTTATTAGGCTTTCTTCTTCTTTAATGTATCTGTATAGCTTCACTCCTCTTTTGTGTCTTTGACTTGTTTCTCACTCTCTCTCTCACTTTCCTTAAAATCTTTGATTGGACTTTCTCCTTCCTCGATGTCTTTATATTGCTATTTTTCCGTATGTCGGTATATACTTTCTTCTTATTCAATGTTTTGTCTCGCATCTCACCATTCTTAACACATACGTCTTGCATTTCACTGTCCTTAATATGTCTCTCGAGTTTCTGTTTTTCCTTAACATTTTTAGCTCATTCGTTCTCCTTCAAAATCTTCGTCTATCACCTTTCATTGCTTTTGTCTCGTCTCCCTCTGTCTTTAACGTCTTTGTTGATTTTTTCTCTTCAATTGAATACTTTGACTATCATTTCTCCCGATGCCTTGTCTGGCATTTCTCATTTCCAAATACCGTTATCCTTCGTCAATGTCTTCGTCTATCATATCTCCTTCTTCAATGTAGTTGTACTGTTTTTTTACCTCATTGCATGTGTCTCGTCTTCCTCTTTCCTTAACGTCTTTGTTGAATCTTTCTCTTCAATTAAACACTTTGAATATAAGTTCGCCTTTCTCAATGACTTGTCTAGTATTTCTACTTTCTAAATATATTTATCCAATCTTTGTCCTTCGTCCATATCTTCATCCTTCATTGATTATGTCTCGTCCCCCTCTGTATTCATCCTTCATTATTCCTTCTTCTACGTAGTTCTACTGTTTTTCCATCATTATTTTTGTCTCGTCTCCGCACGTCTTTAACGTCTTTGTTGAATCTTTTTTCTTCAATTAAATACTTTGACTATCATTTCTCATTTCTCAATGCCTTGTCTGGCATTTTTCATTTGTAAATATCTTTATCCTTCGTCTATCATATCTCCTTCAATATATTTGTACTTTTTTTTTGCCTCATTGCTTTTGTCTCGTCTTCCTCTTTCCTTAACGTCTTTGTTGAATCTTTCTCTTCGATTAAATACTTTGACTCTCATTTCTCCATTCTCATTGCCTTGTCTGGCATTTCTCCTTTCTAAATATTTTTCGTTTCCCAGGTATCATGTATCTTTGTAACTTTGTCTAGTCTGTCATCTTCCACGATTTCTTTATATAGTCTTTCTCCATCCTTATTTTCACTCTCTTTAGCAAGTCGCCATCATTCTTCCATTTTTTCTTCCTACTTAATTCTCTCCCTTGAATATCTTTCACTCTATATCATGGCGTACTCTTCCGTTGATATATTATCAATTTTCTTTTTGCTCATTCCTACCATTTCCCGTTCGAACACTCTTATAGTGCATCTATAATGCCCAAAATGCTACTGAAACTTCAAGAAAAACGTTATGCAAACTAACACCAATATTCCTTTCCTGATGGCATAATACTTTTTCTGTTACGCAAGCATTTTTCAAAGCAAACCCTATGTTCACAGAAGTCAGTTTAAAAGGTCTTCAGAATCAGACGTTTTCTCAGTAAGACTAGTATTACGTGTGCCTGAAATAAACAAAACGGATGTCTCTATTTAAGAACTTTTCGGTGTTTCCAGTTTCAGCAGTTGCTGTCAGCGTTCGGATTGTTATTTGCGTTATAGAAATAGATGGAATTCTCGATGGTAAAATTGTACATCAAAATCTTATCTCTTGTTGTAGGAGATTTATTTTTATTTCTGTATACTATCCAATTTAAAATTCATGAACACAATTAATTTCGAATGCAATACGACGATGGTTAGAAGCACACAGAGTTATCGCTTCATGTATTGGTTGAGAGGAAACAAAGAAGATGAATATTATTTACTGTGCTATAGAGCACAATGTATATCTATCTATCTATCTATCTATCTATCTATCTATCTATCTATCTATCTATCTAAATGTCTATTCCTGTTTATCTATCAGCTAGCTTGCTATATAGCTATTGAAATGTCTATCCCTGTTTATCTATATCTACATATCTATCTATCCATCAGCTAGCAAGCTAGCTAACTATCGAAATGTCTATTCCTGTTTATCTATCTATCTATCTATCTATCTATCTATCTATCTATCTATCACTTAGTTAGCTATCTAGCTATCGAAATGTCTATTCTTGTTTATCTATCTATATATCTATCTATCAGCTACCTAGCTAGCTAACTATCGAAATGACTAATCCTGTTTATCTCTCTATCTATCTATTTATCTATCTATCAGCTAGCTTGCTATCTAGCTATCGAAAGGTCTATTCCTGTTTATCTATCTATCTGTCAGCTACCTAGCTAGCTAACTATCGAAATGTCTAATCTTGTTTATCTATCTATCTATCTATCTATCTATCTATCTATCTATCAATTAGTTAGCACTTGCAAACTGATCAGAATCCATGTTAGATTTTAGGCTTTAAGTTCACTACAGGAAATTGTCCTACGTGGACAAAAGCATTATTTTGTGAATTTGGTAACATATTGGTTGGGAGTTCAACCTATGGGTCACGTAGTGTGTACTAGAATCCATTGTAAACGGACAAGAAATAACTGAACAGTTTTTAAAAAAATAGGAATTAGACGATATCCCTAAAAATGGACACTCGAACGAGAACAGTGGATAAGAGATTGTGGAGAGGACTGATTGCCTAGTTCCTGAATAATAACAATAAAGTGTGCTTAACAGTTATGTAATATCAATCCTCCTATATGACAATGAATACTGCATAAGATCCTGACAAGAAGTGATTTGCGGCAACATGGATGTGGTTCTACAGAAAGATACTGAGAATACTATGAATGGAATATTCAGAAACATGGAAATTTAGTTCGATACAAAAAAGTGTCGAACTGTTATGTAATATCAATCCTCCTATATGACAATGAATACTGCATAAGATCCTGACAAGAAGTGATTTGCGGCAAAATGGATGTGGTTCTACAGAAAGATACTGAGAATACTATGAATGGAATATTCAGAAACATGGAAATTTAGTTCGATACAAAAAAGTGTCGAACTGTTATTTAATATCAATCCTCCTATATGACAATGAATACTGCATAAGATCCTGACAAGAAGTGATTTGCGGCAAAATGGATGTGGTTCTACTGAAAGATACTGAGAATACTATGAATGGAATATTCAGAAACATGGAAATTTAGTTCGATACAAAAAATACTCGAACTGTTATGTAATATCAATCCTCCTATATGACAATGAATACTGCATAAGATCCTGACAAGAAGTGATTTGCGGCAAAATGGATGTGGTTCTACAGAAAGATACTGAGAATACTATGAATGGAATATTCAGAAACATAGAAATTTAGTTCGATACAAAAAACTGTCGAACTGTTATGTAATATCAATCCTCCTATATGACAATGAATACTGCATAAGATCCTGACAAGAAGTGATTTGCGGCAACATGGATGTGGTTCTGAAAGATACTGAGAATACTATGAATGGAATATTCAGAAACATGGAAATTTAGTTCGATACAAAAAAGTGTCGAACTGTTATGTAATATCAATCCCCTATATGACAATGAATACTGCATAAGATCCTGACAAGAAGTGATTTGCGGCAAAATGGATGTGGTTCTACAGAAAGATACTGAGAATACTATGAATGGAATATTCAGAAACATGGAAATTTAGTTCGATACAAAAAAGTGTCGAACTGTTATGTAATATCAATCCTCCTATATGACAATGAATACTGCATAAGATCCTGACAAGAAGTGATTTGCGGCAAAATGGATGTGGTTCTACAGAAAGATACTGAGAATACTATGAATGGAATATTCAGAAACATGGAAATTTAGTT